GTCGTCGTAGCGGGCGATCACCTCGATCCCGTTCTGCGGGTCGCTCACGTCCAGGATCACGAGCCCGTTCTTCCGGTTCGAAGCGCCCTCCCGGCTGATCACGCAGAACTTCCCGTCCTCCGAGACCTTCACGTCGTTCACGGTCCGGGCGTCCACCCGCACCGTGTCGACGAGGCTGATCGCCGAGGGATCGGTGACGTCCCAGAAGTAGGCGTGCCCGTCGGCGCTGTGCGTCCCGGTCACGGCGTAGTCCCGGCCGTCAACGCCCTCCCAGACCCACAGATCCGAGGTGCGCCGGTCGCGGACGGGGCCCTGCCCCACGATCTCGACATCCTTCCGCACCTTCCGCGCCACCACCGCCACCGTCGCGCTTGCCGACTCGGTGAAAGCCGTCGGCGATCACGGTGTGGGTGCCCGAACGCTCCGCCACGAAGGCGCCCGCCTCGTCCACCTGGCCGATGGCGCCCGGCGCCACGATGCCGTCCGTCGGGACCCCGAAGGTCGCGAACTGCACCGGGTAATCCGGCACCTCGTTTCCGGAAGCGTCCATCACTCTCGCCTCCAAAAACACCACGTCCCCGGTCCGCACCGCGTCATCCGGCGCCCCGCTCAGGGTGATCGAAGCCACTGGGTTGGCGAGCACCTCGATCGCGGCGTCGCTCGACGCCTCCTCGGCGGAGACGGTGAGGGTCGTTCGGCCGGCGCCCATCAGGGTGAGCACCCCAAGGGAATCCACGCTCGCCACCGACGAATCGGCGGTCGTCCAGCCCACTTCCACGTCGTTCCGGATGGCGCCCGAGATGTCGGTGACCACCGAACGGAGCCCGATCTCGGTCCCCGCGTAGAGGTGGCCCCGGCATGTTGGCTACCTCGACCGTAGCCACCGGCGGGTTGGGGATGGTTACCGCGATCTCCACCGTGACCGCGGGCTCGGCGCGCCGGTGGACGTCCTCTGGATCCTTCGGCACCATGGCGATCAGGGTGTGCTCGCCGGGCTGGTAGGCCTCGACCATCCCCGCGGGGTTCACGCCCACCGCCCGGCGGCGGCGCGAGTAGAAGACCACGGCGCGGTCCATCGGGTTGCCTTCGCTGTCCCGGACCTCGGATTGGAGCGTCAGCGTGTCCCCGACCTCGAGCTCGACCTCGGACGGCGTGATGATGAGTTCAGCGGGCTGCGGGCCAACTTCGGTTTCCTCTCCTTGGGCTTCTTCTTCCTGGGCAAGCGCAAATCCGGGCGCCACCAGAGCACAAAGAAGGACGGCGGACAGCCGCAGCCATGGGTTCGAATTCCTGAGAGTCATTGTTTCCTCTCCTCCTCAGCGAGGCCTTACGGCTCGCCCTTCCAGTAGATGATGCCGCCGGCCTGTTTGCCGACGTCGATCTGGGAGACGCGCTGAGCGGCTCCGATGTCGTAGACCTCCACGGTTCCCGGTTCGCCCCCGACCCCTTCCAGGGTCACGATGGCGTAGCGGTCGTCGTCGGACACCACCACCCCGTGGGGAATCCGCCGCGAGGTCTCGGGCGCGGCGATCAGCTCGCCGCTGATGAGATCCCAGAAGCCGACCTTCTTGCCGGACTTGTAGGTGGCGATCAGCACCGAGCCGTCGGAGGTGATCGCGAGGTTGTAGGGGTTCTGGCCGGGCCCGGCGTCGAACCGGCGAGACACCTTCCATTCGGCTACGTCCACCTCGTAGATGGCGCTGTCGCCGTTCCCCGCCACGTAAACCTTCCCGGCGGGGGAAGGGCTGGTGGCCCAGGTCGGCTTGACCACCGGCATCCGCATACCGTCCATATCGGCCATGTCGCCGTGGCCCATCTGCGCGTGGGCGCCGGGGTCGGTGCCGAGCGCCAACCGGCGCGCGATCTCGAAGCGCATGGTGTCCACTTCGACAAGCTCGTCGTCCATCATGTTCACCGAGTAAAGCCGGTCGCCCTTCGCGTTCATCCGCGCTCCGTGCGGCATGACCCCGGTGTCGATGGTGGCCACCTCGATCATGGTCCCCGTCTCCACCACCGAGATGGTGCTCGGGACCATGTCGCCATGGAGGTTGAAGTTGACGATGTAGAGCAGCCCGGTGCTCGGCGAGACGTCCATGGTCGCCGGGAACATCCCGAGCGTGGCGTCTCCGACCCATTCGTTGGTTCCGGTCTCGTACTTGTGCACCGCACCGAAGGGCATCCCGTGGGCGATGGACAAGAACCAGTAGCGCCCGTCGGGCGAGACGTTGATCCCGTGCGGGCCCTCGGTTTCCGTCGGAAAGCTGCCGACCGAAATCTCGTCGATCTCCTCGAGCCCGCCGGGGCCGTAGCGAAGCAGATGCACGGTGTCATCCGACTCCGCGCACACATAGACGAAGTAGTTGCGCTTCGGCGGCTCCAGATCCTCGCCGGCGCTCAGGAGCGGCGCGAAGCCGAGAGCGAACAGCAGGAAGGAAGTCGCGAGGCGCCAGGAGCGACGGGAAGACATCAGTTGGGTTCTCCCATGTTGCGCGGAGTCTCCGGGTCGACGAGCTTTACCGCCCACAGCCCCGAGTTGAAGTCGGTGAAGAAGATGGTGTCCTTGAAGGGCTGGGGACCCCAGGTGAAGGGAGCGTTTCGTTTGTAGCCGTCGGGATCGGTCGGCTCGAAGAAGGCGATCTCCCGGCCCTGCTGGTACAGGTCGCCGCGCAGGTCGCCGGAAACGTCCACCACCCGGAGGCCACCGTTGTAGTAGCCGACGTAGAGGACGTCGTCCTCCACCCAGAGGTTGTGGCTACCGGCCTCGGGCACCTGGTAGCGGGCCACTTCCCGGCCTTCCCCACCGGACTCGTCCCACTCGGCGATATGGATCCAGCCGGCGGCCCGGTCGGGAAGCTTCCCGTCGGGGTCGAAGCTCCAGGGGAAGCTTTCGTCCCCGGCGAACACCATCAGCTTGCCGGTGGACTCGCTCCGGTAGGGGAAGCCCGCGTGGTTCCAGCCGTTCGGGTACTTGAAGCTCCCCATCATCACCGGGTTGTTGGGGGCGCCGCCCTGGCCGCCGCCGCCGATGTCCACCGCGACCACTCCGTCGGTCCAGTTCGAGGACCAGGCGATGCCGTCCTGCACCCAGACGTCGTGGATGCCGTGACCCGGGGTGTCCATCTCGAAACGTCCAACCCGGTAGGGGTTCGTCGGATCCTCGGCGTTCAGGATGTCGTAACGGCGTCCGGCGGAAAGCGCCAGGATGTGGTTCTCAGCCACGAACACGTTGTGGACGCCCCCGCTCAACTGATCGTCGTAGCGCGCGATGATCTTCACCCCGTTCGTGGGGTTTTCGACATTGAGCACGACCAGCCCGTTCTTCCGGTTCGAGGCTCCCTCGCGGCTGAGGACCGCGAACTTCCCGTCGGGCGAGACCTTGACGTCGTTGACGGTGCGGGCGTCCACCCGCACGGTGTCCACCAGATGGATGCTGGACGGATCGGTCACGTCCCAGAAGTAGGCGTGCCCGTCGGCGCCCCAGGTTCCGGTGATCGCGTAATCCCGGCCGTCAGCGCCTTCCCAGACCCACAGGTCCGAGGTGTGGCGGTCACGGACCGGCCCCCGGCCCACGACTTCCCAGTCCTTCTTCACGTTCCGGGCGGTGGCGCGGATCGTTTCCCGCGCGGTGAAGGATCCTCCGGAGACCACCACCGTGTGGAGACCCGGACGCTCGGCCACGAAGGCGCCGTCGGGCTCCACGAAGGCGGCCGCACCCGGCGCCACCAGGGTGTCGGGCGTGCGAGTGGAGACCGCGTACTGCAGGGGATAGTCCGGGACTTCGTTGCCGCTCGCGTCGAGGGCGCGGGCGCTGAACCAGACCACGTCCCCGGTCCGCACTTCCCCTTCGCTCGCGGAGACGTCGAGACGAACCGCCGGGTTGGCGCTCACCGAGATCGCCGCCTCGCCGCTCACCGATTCGGCGCTCGCCGAGATCGTCGCGGAGCCTTCGCCCAGCAGCATGAGCACTCCGTGCTCGCTGACGGTCGCCACCGAAGCGTCGCTCGAGGACCACCCGAAGTCGGGCTTGCGCTCAGCGCCGGAACGTGTCCTGGGCGAGAGCGCTGACCCGGAGCGAAGTGCCGGCGTAGAGGCTTGCCGGGAGCGCCGCGATCTCGACGCTCGCGAGGGGCGGCCACGGCACCCGCACCGCGATCTCGACCATGAGCGCCGGCTCGGCGCGCCGGTCCATGGCGTCCGGGTCCGCCGGCACCATCGCGATCAGGGTCTGGTCCCCCGGCCGGTGGGCTTCCACCATCCCCGCGGGGTTCACTCCCACGAACCGCCGGGCGCGGGAGAAGAAGACGACGCCGCGCTCGAGCGTGTTTCCGTCGGCATCCTTGACGGTGCGCGGTGAGCTGGGCGCTCTTCCCGACCTCAAGCGTCAGTTCCGGCGGATCCACCACGAGCTCCGCAGGTTCCTGCGCCGTGGCGGACCCGGCGAGCAAGACCCCGGCGCACATCAGCGCACCAAAGAAAAAGAGCCGGTCAGAAAGCCTGCCGGCAGAGAGACGAATCGTGTTTGCCATGGCCGTAGAGGATCCTCCTGCTGCTGCCCCGATGGGTAACCGGCGATTGTAGTCCCCCGCGCCGCGCGGCCCCCAAAATCGGCATGTTGAGCGGAGCGCCAGTGTTCACGCCGGCAGCGGGAGAACTGGCCGGGACCGCTGCACGAAGCGCAGTGAGATCGCGCATCGCCAACCCGCGCAACGCGCGCGCGGCAGCAGGAGCGCCGCTGTTCACCCCGGCACCACGTCCCGCAGGCAAGGGAACGCCGACCTCTGGGCAGTCCTCCCGGTGGGGCCCGGCACAGCGGCCCGCAGGGCCGCGGCGGCGCAGACCCCAACCGGCAGGATGGCTCCCTTCTCGGCGCGTACCCCTCAAGGCAGGACGGCGCGCAACGGAGCGCCGGTCTCCGACCGGCATCGCGCGGGAGCGCGAAACCTGCACCAATGACGCCGGGCCCAGCCAACGGGAGTCCCGCACCGCACAGCCCCCCGCCTTCACACCCGCACCGCGTCCCAACACCGTCGCGAAACGCGTGTTGCCAACGGCAGCAAGAGCTGGAGCGCCGGTCTCCGACCGGCATCGCGCGGGAGCGCGAAACCTGCACTAATGACGCCGGTCCAGCCAACGGGGCAAGAGCGCGAGGACGGCTTGGAGCGCCGGCCTCCGGCCGGAATCGACCGCCCGAGGCCGACGAAGGTCTCGCCTTCCACCCTCACGTGGGGCGTACACCGGGCGAGCCCCACGGCCCCGCCCACTCCTACCAGATATCCCCGACCGTGAAGCCCTCCGGGAAGGGATCCGATGGATCCACCGGAGTACTGGGCGATCCCCGTGATCCAGGCGGTCCCGCTGATCGTCGGGACCACTGCCGGGACCCCGCCAACCGTCGTGGTCCGGATCAGGCGCCCCACGAACTCGGTCCCCACCGGTCCGAAGTGATGGAAGTCCTCGCCGATCCCGAGCAAACCCCGCGCGTGGAGCGCCGCCATCCGGGCGGACGTCCCCGTCCCGCAGGGGGAGCGGTCCAGCGCGCCGGTCCAGGTCTCGGGACGATTCCAGTCCAGTTCGCCCACGGCCACCGACACCGCGTTCGCGGCGGTCCGGGTTTCGGGGTCGAAGGGCCCGGTGAGCTGCCCGATGCTCGCCTGACGGATCTCGGGGTTTTCCGGGTGGACCGCTTCGAGCTGTTCGCGCGCCGCCTGTTTCACCATCGCCCCGACCCGGGCCAGTTCGCGCCCGTGTTCCGGCGCGATGCGGAGCCCGAAGCGGGCCGCGTCGGCGATCGCGTAGAACATGCCCCCCCAACAGACGTCCACCTCGACCTCGCCGAAGGTCGGCACCTCGATCTTCGCTCCCAGATGGGCGGGAAGGCGGGCACGTTCTCGAGAGTCACCCGGGTCACCTTGCCGCCCTCGACGCTTGCCTGCACCTGGATGAGCCCCGCCGGGGTCTCCAGGGTGAGTTCGGTCACCGGCTCGACCGCCGGCACCATGCCGGTCTCGATGAGCGCGGTGACGGTGCAGATGGTGTTCGTCCCCGACATCGGCGGGTACTCGGTCTGCTCCATGATCACGAAGCCGGCGTCCGCATCGGGATGGGTGGGAGGCAGCACCAGGTTGCAGTTGGCCGCCGGATAGCCCCGGGGCTCCCGGAGCATGAGTTTGCGGAGGCCGTCGGCGTGGCGCTCCAGGTACTGCATCTTCCGAAACATCGTCTCGCCGGGGACATCGGGGACGCCACCGACGATCACCCTCCCGGGTTCGCCCGCGGCATGCAGGTCCACCGCCTGAATGAGTCGCCTTTGAGCGCATCTTCTTCTCCCTTCTCCCTTCTCCCTTCTTGTCCCTTCAGTCGCGAGGCGCGGGGGTTTCTTCGACGACCCGGAACGCGCCCGCCCCGTCTACCGGCACCGACTGTTCGGCTCCCGTCGGCCAGCGCACCCTAACCGAGTCGGGCACTCCGGGAGCAAGACCGATCCAGACTTCGCGCGCACCGGACGACAGGTAGCTCGAGCCGGCGGTGACCACGGCGCGCTGCGGCTTCCCGGCACGCTCCACCACCACCTCGGCGCCGACCCCGTCGCGGTTGGACGTCCGTCCCACCAGCCGCAGCACGGGCCCGCGGAGCCGGGTCCGAGCCGTTTTGGAGGAGCGCGGCGCGGCCGCCCGAGCGGGAGGCCGCGAGATCGAGCAGGCCGTCGGCGTTGAAGTCCGCGGCCACCAGGCCCCGGCCCACCGCCGGCGGCAGCCCGAGCGCCACCGGTTCGAACGAACCGCCCAGGTTTCGGAAGCAGACGTCCCGCTGGCGGTATTCCGTTCCCGGGTAGAGAAGCGGCGCGTTGTCGAGGACATGCCCGTTCGTGATGCACAGATCCGGCGCGGCGTCGTTGTCGAGGTCCGCGAACACGGCGCCGAACCCCAGCCAGTCGAGCGACGGCCGCCCCACTCCGGAAAGAAAGGAAACGTCGCGGAACACCCCGTGCCGGTCGGAAACGTAGAGGTTGTTCGCCTCGCCCTGGAAGTTCGTGACCAACAGATCGAGGTCCCCGTCGGATTCGATGTCCGCCGCCGCGATCCCCATCCCGGCGAGGGCATTCCCGTCTCCGTCGTAGGCGAGGCCGGCCGGCAGGCCCCGTTCCCGGAAACGGAGTCCGCCCAGGTTTTCGAAGAGGAAGTTGGGGACCGTGTCGTTCGCGACGTAGAGGTCGGGAAGCGGGTCCCCGATCAGGTCGGCGGCGAGGACGCCGAGTCCCTTGCCGGTCAGGAGCCCCACTCCGGCAGCTTCGGAAACGTCGCGGAACGAGCCGTCGCCGCGGTTTTCGTAGAGCAGATCCGGCACCCCCGAGAAGGCGTCGGGGAGGCAATAGGACCGGACCCGCTCGCCGGACACCATCCGCGCGCATTCCGGGTTGTTCGCCGGAGACCAGGCGAGGTAGTGCGTCACGAAGAGATCGAGGTCACCGTCCCCATCGAGATCGGAAAAAGCGGCGCTCGCGCTCCAACCCGCCGCCTGGAGCCCGGCGCCCTGGAGCCCGAACGTCCCGTCTCCCCGATTCTCGTAGAGAAGGTCCGTTCCCACCCGCGTCACCAGCAGGTCGGCGTCCCCGTCGTTGTCGTAATCGGCGGCCACCGCACCCATGCCGAATCCCTCGGCGGGGGCCGGAATCCCGAACCCGGCGGGCTCGCTTACATCCCGAAAACGTCCGTCGCCTTCATTGCGGTAGAGCGCGCCCACCAGCCCCGGCGGCCCGCCCGTCCCGGGCACTTCCCCCGCCCTGCACGAAGAAGAGGTCCGGCGCACCGTCGCCGTCGTAATCGAGCACCGCCAAGCCAGAGCCCATCGTCTCTACCGGATGCCAGTCGCCGCGGGCGCCCCGCTGGTGCTGGAAGGAGAGACCGGCCTCCATTGCCACGTCCCGCAGCACGATCTGCGTGGATGCGGGCTCGGTCTGGATGAACACAAGGAGAAGCGTTGCCACGCCCGCCAAGCGACCCCGGCCCACTAAGACGCGGAGGCCGACAGCGATACGCGGCGGAAAGGTCATGTCGGCAGGCGCTATTCCGAGAAGAAGCCCTTGCGGAGATCGGCAGCCGGCACGAAACGCGTTGCTTGTCGGTATATCGCACGCAAGGTTCCGGAGGCGATTTCCGGGTGCAAAGGCACGGTCAGCACCTGCCGCTCGCCCGAGCTGGGCACCCTGATGAGTTTTGCGTGGCTGCCGCGGATTTGTGCGATCACGAATCCGAGGTCACTCAGGATCTTCAGCACCTCTCGCGAGGTGAGGCGCCGAAGGCGGGGCATCAGGGCCGCGAAGGCCGTTGTCTCATAGCTCACGAGAAGGCGTGGAGCGGCGGAGAGTCCCAAGCGCGCCATTTCGCCCTCGTCAAGATGAAGCGCAAGCGCCTCCCGAAGGTTGGCGAGGGTTTCATCGAGCGTCCGGCCCTGGGTGACCACCGCCGCCTCGAGGCATTCGACAACGAACCACGCATCGCTCCTGGAGATCACGGCGTGAATGGCGGACCGCTCAGCGCTGCCGGTTGGGTCGTAGACGATTCCCGCTTCGGCAACCCGATCGGCCGCCCCAAGCTCTTCGCCACTACGGGACTCGCGTTGGTCCTGACGGAACCCGGGCTCAATCCGGTAGATACCCCTTCGCAAACGGAGGAAATAGGGCCATCGGTGAGCATGGTGCCGGGGAGCGTTCACACAGCACCGGCTCGCAACGTGCGTCCGGACGGACCGTTCGTTCAGGTAGGGCAGGGCGCGCACCACATCGCCGAGCCGGAAAGTCCAGTCTCCGGAACCACTAATGCGCCGTGCCGCGGACAGAACCTCGGCATGGATCGCCTGGCTCTGATGGTCTCCCGGAATGCTCTGCGTCACTACAGCCCTTATTTTACAAGTTGTAAATACTAAGTTTCAAGTATTCCCGTCACGGTCCCGATCAGCCCCGCGGCTGCGAGGCACAAGCCTCCGAGCAGAACGTCCGACCGTCCCGGATGACCGCCCGTTCTTCGGGGACGTGCAGATCGCACCGCTCGCATCCCACCACCCGGCCGCGCAGCTCGGCCCCGCCCGCACTTGTCGGAGGCGGGCTCGCAGGCGGGCTCTTGGGCCGGCTGAACAGCGCCCGAACGACTTTCCACACCAGGCGCGCCGCGAAGAGGGCGAGAAGGATCTGGAGGAAACGCACCATGCCCGGGCCCTGATCTTAGTGGCGGGCGGGCGCGGTGCCCCACCGCGAGGCTGCGCCGGGCCGGGCGCCCACCGGGAGGACCGGGGCGACCTACGGATGCGCTGTCCGCAACGACTCGATCTGGGCCCGGAGCGCCGCCGCCTCGGGCGAACCGGGCGCGGCGGCGATCGCGCGCTCCCAGAGCTCGATACCGGCTTCCAGATCCTGTTCCGCAAAGAGGCGCACCTGGCCGAGGGCGACCAGGCTCTCGAAGTGTTCCGGGTCTTCTTCCAGCACGCGCTCGAAGGCCGCGACGGCCGCGGCCACGTCCCCGGCCCCGAGCTGGGCAAACGCCACGCGGCTGCGGATGTCGAGGTCCGACGGATCGAGGTTTCGCGCCTGCTGGAGCCAGTACACCGCCTCGCTGAAATCCCGCGCGTCCAGGTACAGCTCTCCGACCGCGGCGCGCGCCGCCGGATCCTCGGGCCGCGCTTTGACCGCGTCGAGGAGAGCCTCGAGGGCATCCGGGTTCACGGGTCGCGCCTCGGGAGCGGCGGCCACTTCCGCCGGTGCCGGCTCCGGCGCGGGAGGGGGCGCCGCGGGCGCCTGCGGTCCGGAGGACCCGGAGACCAGGAATCCGACCAGGACCCCGAACACCAGCCCGGCCCCGAAGAAGAGGGCGCGCTCGGACAGGGCGCTCATCCAGTCACCGAAATCTTGCCGGGGTGGGAACGGCGCGACTCGAGGAGCGAGCACCCTCCGACATAGAGGTAACCCGACGCAAACAACAGGAGGAAGGGCGCCGAGGCCGCCACTCCTTCGACGACGGCGTAGAGGGTGGCGGCCGCCATCACGAGTCCCAGACCGAACTCCAGCGCCGGGATGGCGCCGGCGGGCATCCGGTAGGACTTGCCGCGCCAGTTGTCACTTGTCTTGTCACTTGTCTGGGCAATGCCGTACTTGGGCGTCCGGACGAAAGGGGTCGGCCGGCCCACCACGCCGGCAAGCACCGCGGCCGCGTTGCTGAACGAGATGCCGATGCCCACGGCGAGCGCCAGGGGAATTCCCCGCACCCGGCGCCAGAGCCCCTCCCGCTCGCCCAGCGGCTGGAGCCGGAGCAGGCGCTCTGGGAAAAGGAATAGAAGGACACCACCGAGAGGGTGGCGGCGGCGAATATCGGAATGTCGAGGAGCGCCATTTCCCGGAGTCCGGTGCTCACCCGGGCGAAGAGCACCGGCGCCATGAGCAGGCTCAGCACCGCCATCAACGGATAGGCAAGGTTGCTCGAGAGGTGGAAGAACGCCTCCGCGCGGACGCGCAGCGGCAGCGGGGAGGCCAGGATTTGCGGCAGCAACTTCCGGGCGGTCTGGAGCGATCCCTGAGCCCAGCGGCGCTGCTGCGCCTTGAAGGCGTTCATCGAGACCGGAAGCTCGGCCGGGGCTGCGATCTCGGGCACGAACACGAATCGCCACCCCCGAAGCTGAGCCCGGTAGGAGAGGTCGAGATCCTCGGTCAGCGTGTCCCCTTCCCAGCCTCCGGCGTCCTCGATCGCCGCCCGCCGCCAGATTCCCGCCGTGCCGTTGAAGTTGAAAAAGCAACCCGAGACGTGGCGCCCGCCGTGCTCGGTCATGAAGTGCCCATCCAGGAGAATGGCCTGGACGTCGGTCAGGAGCGAGTAGTCGCGGTTCAGATGGTCCCAGCGGGCCTGGACGAGGCCGGTCCGCTCGTCGCCGAGCAGATACGGGAGCGCCTCCTGTAAGAAGTCGGGTTTGGGAACGAAATCGGCGTCAAAGATCACCACGAACGGCGCGTCCGACGCGTCGAGACCCACCTGCAGAGCCCCGGCCTTGAAGCCCCGGCGGTCGGTCCGGTGGATGCGGCAGATATCGAGCCCGGCGGCCGCGCATTCCGCCACCACCCGGTCGGCGATCGTCCCGGTGTCATCCGTCGAGTCGTCGAGCACCTGCACGCTGAGGCGTGAGCGCGGATAGTCGAGCGCCGCCACCGCGCGGATCAACCGCTCGACCACGTAGCGCTCGTTGAACACCGGAAGTTGGATGAGCACCGCCGGCGGCTCGCGCTCGAGAAGCGGAGCTCCGCGCATCCGCATCCGTTCGGCGGCCGCTCCCGCCCGGGCGCCGTAGCGGCTGAGCCGGTACACGAGCACGTAACGATGGGAGCCGTAGATCGAGAGCAGCAGCAGGACGACGAAATAGGTGGTCAGGACGGCATCGGCGAGGGACAAGGAGTGCATTGTGACGCCGCGGGCCCGTGGGGGGCCCGAGAGTTCGCGGTCCCGCGGGGCGGGATCCCCCTCGGTAGCGACGCCCCACCCGGGCCGGCGGGTCGCGGATTCGCCCCGCCGCGGACGGACCGCTGCCGGCCTGGAGACCCCTACCGGGAGAACCGGCCGGCGTTCCATACTCCCCGCCGCATGAACTGGCGATCGTTGGCGGGACTCGGGGGAGTCCACGTTCTGCTGGCGGGCGCGCTCTCCTCGGTTCTCGAGAGCGCCGCCGGGTTCTGGTGGCACTTCGGAGTCCACGCCCTGCTGTTCGTCCCGCTGTTGCTCGTGGTCAGCTCAGCCCTTGGCGGAAAGAGCTCTCCCGGACGGCGGCAGCTCCTGATCGTGCTGGTCGCCGCGGCGCTCAGCCGCGCGTTGCTCCTGCCCACGACACCCACGCTCTCGGGCGACGTGTACCGGATGGCCTGGGAAGCGCAGGTGGTGCTCGAGGGCAAGGACCCCTGGGCGCAGCCGCCCGACGATCCGGCGCTGGCCGAGGTCGCGGCGGCCCACCCGGAGCTGCGGGAGCGGGTCGGTTACTGGATGCTGCCCGCCATCTATCCGCCGTTCGCCCAGCTCTTCGCCGCCGCCGTGGGCTGGATCTCGCCGAGCGTCATGGCCCTGAAGGCAGCGCTCCTCCTCGCCGAAGCGGCGTTGATCGTGGCCCTGATCGCACTTCTCCGGCGACGCGGGTTGAATCCCCTGCTGGTTGCGGCCTACGCCTGGAATCCGCTGGCGCTCACCGAGATCGCCGGTAACGGACACGGCGACGCCCTCGCGGTAACCCTCCTCCTGCTGGCCGTCCTGGCGCTCGAACGGGGCCGGGCGGCGGGCGGCGCCGCGCTCGCCGCGCTCTCGGGAATGACCAAGTTCGCGGGGTTCGTGCTCATCCCCTTCGTGCTGCGCGAGTGCCGGGGATCGCCGTCGCCGGTTGGCGGCGCTGGGGGCCGCGGGCGGCGTCGTTCTCCTCGCCCTGCTGCCCTTCCTGACGCCGGAGCGGCTGGCGGACGGCGTCGCCGCCAGATTCCAGGAGTTCGGGGCGAGCCTCTGGCACTACGCCCGCCACTGGCGCTTCAACGACAGCCTGTTCTCCCCGCTGGAAGCCGTCCTCGGGGACGCCGCGCGCCCGGCGGCGTTCGCGGCGCTGCTGTTGCTGGGTGCGGTTCTGGTCATCCGGCGCTGCCCCCCGGGGCTCGCGATCGGCAGCCTGGCGGGAGCCGCCTTCCTTCTCTCGCCGGTAGCCCACCCCTGGTACCTGCTGTGGTCGCTCCCCTTCCTCGTCCTCTATCCCGAGCGCCGCGGACTGCTGGCCGGCGGCCTGGCGCTGACGCTGACCGTGGCGCTCAGCTACCACGCCTTCTGGAACGTCCCCGTGGGACTCGACTGGACGCTGCCCGCGTGGGTCCGGATCGCGGAATACCTTCCGGTTCCGCTGGCCGCCTTCCTCTTCGGGCGCCCCCGCCGGGAGCCTTAACAGCCTGTGGCAAAACCCTCACGGCCCGAACCGCACCCTCGAAAATCGCAACCTGTTGACGAAGAAAGTTGCGCCGAGTCCTCGACAGAGCGGATGGCGCACAGGCCCGGGAACGCCGACCAGTTCTCCCGGCGGGGGCGTTCACACCCGCACCGCTGCGCGACGCGCAGCGAGATCACGCATCGCCAACCGCGAAGAAGCGCGGGGACGTGGAGCGCCGGCCAGTTCTCCCGGTGGGGGCCTCCGACCGGCATCGCGCGGGAGCGCGAAACCAGCGCCGATGACGCTGCGCCATGCCAACGTGAGTTCCGCACCGTCTTCCACTTCCGGATGTCCCGCCGGCCGGCACCATCTGGACCGGTGGGGTTCCCGCGCGCGACTGCATTTTCACAGCAACTGGCCGGAGGTCGGCGTTCCCTTGTGCGGATGAGAAACACGGGCTAGCCCTCCCGCTCCGACTCCAGGCCGCGGAAATGCGCCACCGCCAGGGCGGCGGCGTAGCCACCGCCGAAGCCGTTGTCGATGTTGACGACGGTGACCCCCGGCGCGCAACTGTTGAGCAGCGAGAGCAGCGCGGTGAGGCCTCCCCAGGAAGCTCCGTACCCGGTTGAGGTGGGGACGGCGACGATCGGGCACGGAACGAGACCCGCAACCACCGGAGCCAGCGCCGCTTCCATGCCGGCAACCACCACCAGCGCGTGAAGCGCGCGGAACCCCGACGCTTCGGCGAGCAGCCGCTGGATGCCGGCGACGCCGATATCGAAGGTCCGCCGAACCTCGGCGCCCATGAGCTCCGCGGTGAGGGCCGCCTCCTCGGCGACCGGGATGTCCGAAGTCCCCGCCGAAACCACCCCGATTCGGGCGCCCGTCGGCGAGGGCGAAGTGCGGGAAACCACCACCGCCCTGGCCTCCTCCCGGCAGACCGCACCCGGGATGTCCGTCACAACGGCGCGCGCCGCTTCCGGCGAAATGCGGGTCACGAGGGTCTGCCCGGCCGTTTCCGAGAGCGCTCGAACGATCGCGACGACCTGATCCGTGGTCTTTCCCTCGGCCAGCACCACTTCGGGGAAACCCCGGCGGAGTTCCCGGTTGTGGTCGAGACGCGCGAAAGGCGCCTTGCCGTCCTCGCCGACCATTTCAAAAGGAAAGCGCAGCCGCTGCTCCGCTTCCTGAGGCGTCACCTCGCCGGAGGCGATGTCGTTCAGCAGGCGGCGCAGGGATTCATCGTTCATCGGCGGGGGAGTGTGGCACGTCGCTTGGGGGGAGATGCGGGCGCTCGCTTCTGCATGTTCCGGCTGACTCGATGGAACGAGGCGGCATTCTCATACTCAGAGTAAGATTCTTGTGATGCAGCGCGTCACCATCACCCTTCCCGAAGCCGTGGTCCTTGAAGTCGATCGCGAGGCGCGCAACCGGAGCCGCTTTGTGTTGGAGGCGATACAGCGAGAGCTTCGCCATCGGCGCCGGGAAGCTCTTCGCCGCTCGCTCGAAAACCCGCACGAGGAGGCAACCGCGTTGGCAGACGCCGGATTCGATGAGTGGGCCTCGTCGCTGCCTGACGAAAGCGTCGCCGAAATGGTCCATCTTGACGGTGGAGAACCAGTCCGGTGGAACCCCGGTAGCGGCTGGCAGACGAACGAGTCTTGAACCTTGATCGTGGCTCGGTTGTCCTGGTGGACCTTGATCCCACGCTGGGACATGAACAGCGCGGAGTCCGGCCCTCAGTCCTGGTGAGTGATGCCGAGGTGGTGGCGGAAGCGCGCTTCCCCCTGGTCGCCGTGGTGCCCGTTTCTCGAAGGGCTGGCGAGGGCGCCCTCTACCCGTTGCTCCGCCCGGGCGCCAGCGGTCTCCTCCAGGTGTCCTGGGCGTTGACGGACCAAGTGCGATCTGTGGACAAGCGACGCATTCGCCGGCTCTTCGGAAAAGTCTCCCCCGACGAGATTCGGGCCATTGACGAGGGTCTGCAACTGTTCCTCGGGCTCTACTAGCAGCCTGTGGTGGAACCCGCGTGAGCGCCGGGAGGATTCCGTTGATCCTGATTGACACGGTCGTCATGGATTCATTTGCTGCGGCCGTCCGAAGATCCGCCGGCACGGCGCCGGGCTTGAATCGGCGGACACGGACTGCGAACGGCTGGCCGGCATCGCCCCCACCGGGCCCCCACCGGGCCCCCACCGGGCCCCCAGCGGGGTTGTCTGACCCCCGCGCGGAATAGCCCGCCTCCGCGATCGGTCCGCCCTCGGTATCCTGACCCGATGGTGGAGCGGGAGGCGTTTCGGGAGCAGGTTCGCGAATCGAGCGACATCGTCGACGTGATCGGGGAGGCGGTGGCGCTTCGCCCGGCGGGACCCGGGCGCTACACCGGGCTGTGCCCGTTCCACAACGAGACGGCCCCGTCCTTCCACGTCAACGCGGAACGCGGTTTCTTCCACTGTTTCGGCTGCAAGGAGAGCGGCGACGTCTTCGGTTACCTGATGAAGCGCGAAGGCCTCTCCTTTCCCGAGGCTCTCAACCACCTGGCGCGCCGCGCCGGGATCCCGATTCCCGAAGCCGACCCCAGGAAGGCGTCGCGCGACGAAAAGCTCCGGGCCGCCAACCGCAAAGCGCTCGACTACTACCAGCGCGCCCTGCGGAACGAGGCCGGCGCCCGGGCGCGCGCCTATCTCAAGAAGCGTGACATCACCCAAAGCACGATCACCGAGTGCGGCCTGGGATTCGCCCCGGACCGCTGGGACGACCTCACGACCACCCTCGAAAAGTCCGGGATCACGCGCGCGACCCTGATCGAAGCCGGACTCACGCGGGAGGCCCCCCGCGGCGGACACCGGGACTTCTTCCGGAACCGCCTCATCGTTCCCATTCTTGACGGCCAGGGGCGCGCCGCCGGCTTCGCCGGCCGGAGCCTCGACGGGTCGGAGCCGAAATACATCAACAGTCCCGACACCCCCGTGTATCGGAAGCGTTCCGTCCTTTACGGCTTGCATCGCGCGCGGAGCGCCATCCGCCGCGAGCGCACCGCCATCCTGTTCGAGGGGTATTTCGATTGCCTGTCGGCCTGGCAGGCGGGAATTGCGGGTGCGGTGGCCGTGTGCGGCACCGCCCTCACGCCCGACCACGCGAAGCTGTTGGCGTCCCAGGCCAAGGACATCGTGCTCGCCTTCGACGCCGACGCCGGGGGAAGACGCGCCACCTTCGCGAGCCTGCCGATCCTGCTCGAGGCGCAACTCCGGGTGCGGGTGGCTCCCCTTTCCGGCGGGCGCGACCCTGACGATGTCATCCGCGAAGAAGGCGCCGCCAACTTTCGGGAGGCGATCCGGACGGCTCCGGCGTTCGTGGAATTCCTCGTCCAGGAGGCGCTCCAGCAAGCCCATTCCGCCGCCGGCGGCGGCCGGGCGGCGGCGGCCCGGGCGGTCATCGAGATCATCGCCCGGGCGCCAAGCCCTCTCGACCGGGAGGAATGGCTCGGCGAAGCCGCCGGGCCGCTCGGTTTCTCGCTGGAGAGCGCCCGGGAAGAGATGGCGCGGCTCCGGGGCCGGCCCCGGGGCGGAAGGCCGCGGGCCCAAGGTGGCGGGCCGCCCGGCAGTCCGCCCCCGCCAGCTCCGCCCCGGAGGTCACCCACCCCCGCCGAGCGTGACCTGATCCGCTGGGCGGATGCCAGACCCGACGAGGTCGCGGACCTGCTCCGGCAAGCGGAGCCGGGAGAACTCGAGGGCTTCGCGAGTTCGTCGATCCTGCTCGATCTGAAGCAGGCGGCGGACGCCGGCGGCGCCCGGGTCGCCGGCCGGCTCAAGGAACTGGCCCTCGAAGCGTCCGACCGGCAGCGCCTCCTGATCGAGATCCAGATGGAGGCCGTGGGCCTCAACACCGAAAAGCAGAATCCGAAGGACTGCCTCGACGCGCTGCGGGTTTTGAAGCTCCGGCAGCAGCAGGCAAAGCTCCGGACAGCCGCCCGCGGCAGTGGCGACGAAGCCACCGACGCCCTGTCGCAGTTACAGCGCGTCAGCGAGGAGATCGACCGGATTCAGGAAGCCTTGCCGCCGGACAGCCACCAGGGCTGACCCCCCCCGCGCAGGTTCGGCCATGACGGGTGACAGCTTTGTACATGCTAGAGTGCCGGGTTGCTGTTTGGCGCCGCCCGGTCGGCAGTCGCGCGGGCTGGACGCCGGACTGACTTGAACTTGCGCGCGCCTGCTGTCCGTTCCCGCCGGGAAACACCTGTCCAGAGAGTTAGCGGGATTTCTTCGTCCGATAGCGCGACAGGCTCAATGCGAACAGGCCCGATGCGAATAGGCCCGATGCGAACAGGCCCAATGCGAACAGGCCCGATGCGAAGGCCGGCGAACCCCGATGCGCCGGCCTCACTCCACCTTGCCCGTGCGGAGCCGGAAATGACAGGGCCGGCGCCCCTCCTCTTTCGGCGGTACCCCAAACCGGTAGCGCGCACCGTCTGAGGATCGAGTTTCGTCCGAAGGAATGGCCATGGAACACGCGGAAACCCCCGGGTTCGACCTGGAGCTGCTCCGTGATTTCGGAGTCGAAGCCCAGACCGACGAGGTCAAGGCGCTCGTCGCGCTCGGAAAAGACCGCGGCTATCTGCTCACCGAAGAGGTTCAGGAAGCCTGGGGCGACGACCCTCCCGAGGAGTTTCTCGAAAGCCTGACCGAATGGGGTGTCCCGATCTTCGAGTCCGAAGCGGAATACGAGAAATCCCGGGACGAAAGCGGCGCCACCCTCGACCTGACCCCGAGCGCCATCGAGCGCACCAACGACCCGGTGCGGATGTATCTCCGCGAAATGGGCGTCGTCCCGCTGCTCGACCGGGAGGGTGAAGTCCGGATCTCGAAGCGCATCGAGCGCGGGAAGAACCGTTCCAAGCGGGCGATCACCAGACGGCTCTACATCATCAATCAACTGCTCGAGGGCTTTCGGCCACAGATCGAGGCCGACACCATGCAGCTTCGCGAGAACTTCGAGGTTGCCGAGGGCGGGACCACGATCCGCCACGACCAGCATCGCGAACGGATCCTCGCGGCGATCTCCAGGCTGGAGGCGTGCTACAAGCTGTATCGAAGGCGCGTGTCGCTGCTTCGAAAAGCGGCCCGCCGCACCCGTGACTATCGGCGCCGGGCAACCGCCGCCGCACGCACGCGTATCGAGATGAGCCATGCCATCTGGACCATGCGTCCGACCGACGGCCTGCTCAGCCGCTGGATGGAAGAACTCAAGGGCCTTTGCGAAGAAGCGGGCCAGGCGACGTGCGAAATCGACGTTTGCGCCGCTCTCCGGAGGGAGATCGACGCTTCCGAAGACGTGTCGGCCGAAGACAAGACCGCACTCCGCCGCGACGTGACGCGGCGACAGCGCGAAGCGCAGGACACGCTCGACCGCGCTGGCCACGTCATGTCCGAATTCGGCACCACGAAGAAGCTCAAGTCGGCACGGCTGGAAGTGCTGCCGGAGCTCGAAGCCGCCGTCGCCAACATCGACCTTGGAGAGGAACGCGCCCAACTGGCAAAGCAGGACCTCGTGCAGGCCAACCTGCGGCTCGTCGTTTCCATCGCCAAGAAGTACACGAACCGCGGGCTCCAGTTCCTGGATCTCATCCAGGAGGGCAACATCGGCCTCATGAAGGCGGTGGACAAGTTCGAGTACCGCCGCGGCTACAAGTTTTCGACCTACGCCACCTGGTGGATCCGCCAGGCCATCACCCGCGCGATCGCGGACCAGGCCCGCACGATCCGAATCCCGGTGCACATGCACGAGACCATCAACAAGCTGCACCGGACCCAGCGGAGCCTGGTGCAGGAGCTCGGCCGCGAACCGCGTCAGGAAGAGATCGCCGAACGGATGGGCATGACGTCGTCCAAGGTGCGGAAGGTCATGAAGATCGCCCAGGAACCGATCTCGCTCGAGACCCCGATCGGCGAGGACGACGACGGCCATCTCGGTGACTTCATCAAGGATCCGAACGCCCCCTCACCGCAGGACCTCGTCATCAACAAGCGGCTTCAGGAAACCATCGAAGCCGTGTTGAAGACCCTCACCCCGCGCGAAGAAGCCGTCCTCGAAAGCCGGTTCGGCCTCGGAGGACTCCAGGAAAAGACCCTCGAAGAGGTCGGAAAACAGTTCGAGGTAACCCGCGAGCGCATTCGGCAGATCGAGACGAAGTCCATCCGCAAACTGCGTCACCCGGCGCGTGCCCGCAAGCTGCGGCAATTCTCCGAATGAGCGGCGCCGGGGCCCCTTCGATCGGCCGGGCCCATAGCTCAGTGGTTAGAGCGGCCGGCTCATAACCGGTTGGTCCCAGGTTCGAGTCCTGGTGGGCCCACCGGCCGCTGTTACCCCGGAGTTCGCGGGTCGTCCGTCCGCTTGCTCCGAATCGCGCGCAGCGCGCCCCCCGAGACGGGCTGTTAACCATGCTCCCCGAGCTGGCGACGCTCCGGGAAGTTCAGGGCTTCGATATACGGCTCGCCGCCTACGATCGGGAACTCGCGCAGGTTCCCCGCACCCTGGAGGGCATTGACGCCGAGATCGAGGCGGCTCGATCCCACGTGATGGCGGTGGAGGAGGAACTCAAGGAGACAGCGGCCGAACGGCGGCACGCCGAGACCGAACTCGAAGAAGCCGAGGCGAACGTCAACAAGTACGAAGAGCAGTTGCTCGGCGCGCGCAGCAACGTCGAATACAAGGGACTGCAAGAGCAGATCGCCAACACCAAGACGAGAATCGGGACGATCGAAGACCGGATCCTCGAGCTCATGGAAAAGGCCGACGAGTTGGAAAAAAAGCTGGCCGACAGCAAACGAACGTTTCAGGATCGGGGCGCCGTGCTGGAAACGCGAAAGACCGACATCCGGTCCCATGCCCGGCAACAGGAAGACAAGCGGGATCAGCTTCGCAAGCAGCGCGCGGCGGTCTTTGCCGGTCTTTCCGAGGAGATCGCGTCCCGCTACGAGCGACTCCGCGAGGCCCGCCGCGGTATCGCGGTGGCGCCCGTCAGGGATGAGCGCTGCACCGGGTGCAACGTGCGCCTACGGCCCCAGCTCCTTGAGGAAATGCACGTGGGACGCTCGATCCTGGCCTGCGAGGTCTGCGCCCGCATCCTGTTCCTGGAACGGTCACCGGCCCCACCGGCCCCACCGGCCCCTGCATGAGCCGGCTTCTGAGGGAGCGGGCCGAGAAAAGGCGCGCTCGGGAAACCTGGCTTGAAGACGCGGACGCCGGCCTGGGAGTTCCGCCTGCAAGCGATACCCAACGGGGACTCCGGGTCGCCGTCGGCTACCCCAATCGCTACGCGCTCGGGATGTCCAACGTGGGCTTTCAGGCCGTCCATCGCTTCTTTCATCTGTTGCCGGACACGACCAGCGAGCGGTTCTTCCTTCCCGACCGGGCCGAAATGGACGAATACCGCAGGACCGGGCTTCCTCTTCGTACGCTCGAGAGCGGGAGTCCCGTACGGGGTTTCGATGTGGTGGCGTTTTCGATCACCTTCGAACCCGACCTCATCCACCTCGTCGAGATGCTGCAACTCGCCGGCATCCCCGCGTTGGCGGCGGATCGCAGCGCCCGGGACCCACTGGTCATCGCCGGCGGGCCGGTCACTTTCCTGAACCCCGAGCCCCTCGCCCCGTTCATCGACGCCTTCGGAGTCGGAGAGGCGGAGGCGCTGCTTCCGACCCTCAGCGGGATCCTGCAAGCGGAGACCCGGGACCAGCGCCTCCGAGGTTTTGCCGAAGAGTCCGGGTTCTACGTACCGGCCACCCACGAGGTCGAGTACGCGCCGGAAGGGCAAGTGCTCAGCCGCCGCGTCCGGGGTGCGCCGCGGGTGGTGCGGGCCCGCATGGGCAAGGATGCGCGGTTCCCGCCTCCGGCCACCTACATCCTCACCCAGGACACCGAGATGTCGGACAAGTTCCTGGTCGAGGTATCGCGCGGCTGCCCGACGCTCTGCCGGTTCTGCTGGGCCGGCTACAACTATCTGCCGAAGCGTTCCTTTGACGTGGAGCGTCTGCTGGCGCTGGCCCGCATGGCTCGCCCTCACACCGACCGGATCGGCCTGGTTTCCACCGCGGTGGGCGCGCACCGCGAAATCGTCCCGCTGGTTTCGGATCTCCGGGATCAGGCATTCCGGGTCAGCGTTTCCTCGATTCGCTTTGAGGATGTCCGCGACGAGTTCGTCCGGCCGCTCGCCGAGAGCGGGGAGCGGACGGTCGCCATCGCCCCCGAGGTCGGCACCGACCGGCTGCGGAAGGCGATCCACAAGCGGGTCACGAACGACGAGATCCTGGACAAGACGAAGACCTTGCTCGACGCGGGAATCGAGAACCTGAAGCTCTACCTGATGGTGGGGCTGCCGGGCGAAACCGACACCGACGTGGAAGCCATCGTCCCGCTGGTGCGCCGAATCCGCGACCTCGTGCGGGCGAAACGGCGCGGCGGCCGCACCATCGCGAGCGTCAATCCCTTCATCCCCAAGCCGGGCACTCCCTTCCAGTGGCGCCCCATGGCGCCGCTTCCGCTGCTGACCGCGCGGATCCGGTATCTGCAACGCGAGTTGGGCGCTCTCGCCGGGGTCGAAGCACACTGCAAGTCCCCGCGCATGGAACGCCTCCAGGCGCTCCTGGCACTGGGCGACCGCCGCCTCGCTCCGGTCATCCTCGCGCTCGCGGGCGGACGCGGCCTGAACCGCAGCCTCAAGGATGCCGGACTCTCGCTCGACGCCTACCTCTACCGGAAGCGGGAACTCGACGAGGAACTCCCCTGGAGTTTCCTCGACACCGGCATGAAGGACAGCCTGCTCAAGGACCAGCTCGCCAAAGCCGACCGCCTAGTGGCGTAGGAAGCGCCGCCGGCTCGCCCGCGACGCAGGTACGGGAACCCCGACCGCCAGGTCGGCTCTCTCCAGGTCGGACCTCCAGGTCGGCCCCGCCCCATGGCGCCCATGCCACCAGGCGGAGCGAGGCGCTGGCAAGGGAACGCCGACTATCCCGCCACCACCACCGACCAGTTCCGCCCGACGCCGGGGCCCTCGCGGCGGTAGGAGTGAAACGCCGGCTGGCACCGGGTGCAGAGCCCGGTGTCCTCGATCGCCTCCTCCCGCAGTCCCGCATCGAGCAGTTGGAGGCGGTTCGCGAGCACCAGGTCGAGATGGGGTCTACCGCGTGAGCGACGGTCCTCCGCCTCCGGCCAGATCGCGATCCGGCCGATGTCGTGCCCGTCATCGGTGAACGCGGAAACGACTTCGGGACCTACCTCGAAACAGCAGGCACGGATGGAGGGGCCGATGACGGCCGCGAGCCGCGAAGGAGGGGCGCCCGCCTCCGCGGCGAGCGCGCGGGCCGCCTTCCCGACAACCCGCACCAGCGTGCCCCTCCAGCCCGCATGAACACCCGCTACCGCGCCGGAGACGGGGTCCGCGAGCAACACCGGAACGCAATCGGCGGCCTTGATGGCGACCCCGTTGTTGGCGGAGCAGGCGATCAGCGCATCCCCCGGAGGCGGAGTCGGGTACCGCGCCTGATCGGCCGCTACCTGCACGCGGTTCCCGTGCACCTGCCGCAGGGAATGGAGGACCTGCGCACCGGTGGCTCGTTCAAGGAGTTCCAAATCTCTATCGGCCCGGTCCCGGACTCCGAGCAACGGGGCGTCCGGCTGGCGGTTCCGAACCCGGCAGGTGAAGCCGTGGAGGGCGGGGAAGCGCTCGGATACGAGCGCTTCGACCCGCTCTGCCGCGGTGGACGCGTTCGCGGCGCCGGACCCGCACTCCTGCCAACGGAAGCCGTCCGGAGGATCGGGGACGGCGAGCGGCGTCGGTTGGGCGCCTGCGTCAGACGTCATGTCGTCGAGCGCCGAGCTGGATGGCGGCAGGCATGTCCTTCACGAAAGTGAACGGGGGCGGGAGGGCCATCCGGGCCGTCCAGAGTGCGTCGTTCGCCCGCCTCCGGCGGGCGGCAGGGAAGGACCCCGAGTTCGGGGTGGTTCGCCTCTCGGCCCGGACCTCGGCGTTCAGCGTCATCCGGGCGGCTGCGTGGTACACGCCTTTCGCTGCGCTTCGCACAGCGGTGCCGACCGGAGGTCGGCGTTCCCTTGCCTGCGTGCTGCTCTGCCCGGGGTTGGGGTACGCGCCGAGAAGGGAGCCATCCCGACGGTTGGGGGCGGCGCCGCCGCGGCCCTGTGGGCCGCTGTGCCGACCGGAGGTCGGCGTTCCCTGGCCTGCGCGCCGCTCTGCCCGGTGGGGTACGCGCCGAGAAGGGAACCATCCCGACGGTTGGGGGCGGCGCCGCCGCGGCCCTGCGGGCCGCTGTGCCGACCGGAGGTCGGCGTTCCCTTGCCTGCGCGCCGCTCTGCCCGGTGGGGTACGCGCCGAGAAGGGAGCCATCCCGACGGTTGGGGGCGGCGCCGCCGCGGCCCTGCGGGCCGCTGTGCCGGCCGGAGGTCGGCGTTCCCGGGCCTGCGTGCTGCTCTGCCCGGTGGGGTATGTGCGGAGAGGAGCGCCACACCGCCACTCGGCGATGCGCCGTGCGCTGGCCGGAGGCCAGCGCGTGCCGACCGGAGGTCGGCGTTCCCTGGCCTGCGCGCCGCTCTGCCCGGTGGAGTATGTGCGGAGAGGAGCGCTGCACCGCCACTGGGCGATGCGTGGTTTCGCTGCGCTGCGCGCAGCGGTGCCGACCGGAGGTCGGCGTTCCCTTGCCAGCGTGCTGCTCTGCCCGGTGGGGTATGTGCGGAGAGGGGCGCCGCGCCGCCACTGGGCGATGCGCGGTTTTCGCTGCCCTGCGGGCAGCGGGGCCGGGGGGAACACCGGTGGTCCCTCGGCCCCCTGTCGGCCTACCGGCGGCGGTGGAGGTAGGCAGGCGTCTCGAGGTCGCCCCACCGGTCGTCTCCCACATCCTCGGGAAGGGGCATGGGCTCATCGACTATCAGGTGTGTGCTGCCGGCGCCCGGAGCACTGGCCGCAGCACTTTTCCGGCCCGCCCCGGGGTCGCTTCCCACGGCTTTCACGCGGTCGGGCCCGGAATCGGCGACGGTGGGAAGGGTCCCGAGTTTCGGAATGGTCCGGCCGACTCTCACGGTAGAGGCCGCATCTTTCTGGGCCACCGGCCCGGCCCGGCCGGACGCGGGGGTCGCTCCCCGGGCTCCAAACGTACCGTTCGCGCGGTTCGTGAAACGGGCGAAGTCGTGAGGGGTCGCTCCCGCTCGGCTTCGGTCGGGGAAGCCGGTGGCAACCACCGTAACCTTGATCTCGCCCGTCTCGTCCATCGCCGGGTCGAGTGCGGTCCCGATCAGGATGTTGTCTCCCGGTTCCGCGTCCGCGGATCCGTAGATTCCCGTCGCTTCGGGAGCCACCGCGTCGCGGACGACCTCAACGGCGCGCTGGACCTCGTTCAGGGTGAGGCTCTCACCGCCCGTGATGTTGACGATGATGCTCGCCGCTCCCTGGATCGAGGTGTCCTCGAGCAACGGCGAGGAAATCGCCGCTTCGGTCGCTTCCTCGACGCGATTGTCGCCCGAGGCCCGTCCAATGCCCATCACCGCGTCGCCGCGGAGCCGCATGGCGGAACGAACGTCGGCAAAGTCCAGGTTGATCTCTCCCGGCACCTGGATCAGGTCGGAAATTCCCTGAACGGCCTGGCGCACCACGTCGTCGGCACACCGGAACGCCTCCCGGATCTTGAGGTTCCCGTACACCTCCACGACCCGGTCGTTCGGGACGCAGATGAGGGTGTCCACAAACTCGCGAAGCTCCCGGATTCCGTCGTTGGCGGTCGCCCTCCGGCGCTTGCCCTCGACGGTCATCGGCTTGGTCGCCACCGCGACGCACAGCGCCTTGATCTCCTGAACCACGCACGCGACCACCGGCGCCGCGCCGGTGCCGGTGCCACCTCCCTCACCCACGGTGATGAAGACCATGTCGGCGCCCGCCAGCACGCCGATGAGCCGGTTGATGTCGTCGCGCGCCGCCGACCTCCCAACCTCCGGATCGCCGCCGCAGCCGAGCCCGCCGGTGCGCTCGCTTCCCAATTGAATCTTCACCGGGGCCTTTGACAGTTCGAGAACCTGAGCGTCGGTGTTCGCGACAATGAACTCCACTCCGGTCACCCCGGCCTCGATCATCCGGTTGACAGCGTTGCCACCGCCGCCGCCGACGCCAATGACCTTGATGACGGCCCGTCTTTCCTGCACGTCGTCGGGAACCGCGGAGGGCGGTTCCGCCGTCACGGCGCGCGGGGCGCCGGTCATGGACATGACGTCCTCTGCTTCCGCCGGTGGCTTCCCGTTCGTGGCGGCCGGCTCCTCCACCGCCAGGGATCGTTCGGCAGGCTCCGAAGCCGCGGCTTCCGGCGTCGCCGCCCCCTCCTGGCCCGCGGACTCGTCGCTGGGGGCAGAGCGCGCGCTGGCAAAGAGCGCCGGCTGCACGGCGGACGCGGACGCCGCGGCGGCCTCCGGCCGCGAGTCCTCGGGCGACGAGGACTTCTCCGTTTTCGGGATCCCGGCTTCGGGATCGCTGGCCTTGGGCGTCGTTTCTTCAGCGAAGAAGATCATGGATTCGCTCCTTGTCCTGGGGGTGGTGGGGGTGGCTGCAGGGCGCCCCGGAAGGGGGCAGGGAAAGTGTTCATGGCGCCTTCTTGAGGACCCGCCTCAGGCCGTCGCCGATCGCGCGGCGAAGCGAACGGGTCGCGGGGGTCCTTCGGCGGTGGACCAGGCCGTAGCGGCAAAGACCCATGGCGCAGGCGAAGTGGGGGCGCGTCGCCAGATCGCGCCGCCCGGTCAAATCCCGGGGACCACGGGTCTCGACGTCGACGCCGAATACCAGCCGGGCGACGTCGCTCAGCCCGTCGAGGTTGGATCCCCCTCCGGTGAGCACCAAGGTACCCGGGATCTGCCGAAGCACGCGGCGCAACTGGTCGCGGATCTTGGTGAGATCGCTCTCGGCGCGGCGCTGCAGCACGTCGGCGAGCAGCCGGCGGCGCCACTGCTTGGGGTAGCCGCCACCCGAAACCTGAATTTCGAAAGTAGTCGTCTTCCGGGACCTTGTCCACGAGGGCAACCCCGTAGCGCCGCTTTGCCTGCTCGGCGTGGGCGTGAGACGTCTTCAAGCCGTAGGCGAGATCGCGCGTATAGGCTCGCCCGCCACTCGGCATCAGGTCCGAATGCCGCAGCGCGGTCCCCCTGAATACCGCGATGTCCGTCGTCATCGCTCCGATGTCCAGAACGATGACGCCCGCCTCCCGCTCCTCGGGATCGAGCACCGCGTAGCCGACCGCGAGCGGAGCGGCCGCCAGCCGCTCGATCCGGATGCCGGCGCCGTTCACCGCCGCCTCGATGTTGTGCAGGGTGGCGCGCGGGCAACTGACCAGATGGACGTGGGACTCGATCTTCTCTCCGGTCCAGCCGGTCGGATCGGTGGTGGAATCGAGGTCATCCACCCAGAACTCCTGGGGTAGCGCGTGCAGAAGTTCGTACGGTGGGCGAAGCCAGGCCGTGCCGCCGTCCCGGGGCACCGCCGCCATCACGGCCCGGTACACGTCGGACTCGCCGATCCGGTTGCGCGGCTCCAGGATGGAAATCGCGCCAGACGAGTTGATGCTGCGACGGGTCCTGCTGCCCACCGAGACGAAGGCCGACCCGACCTCCACCCCCGCGGTCTGTTCGACCTCCTCGACCGCCTGGCGAACGGCTTCGGTGACCCCTCCCTGCCGCACGACTTCCCCGTACTGGACGGAATTCCGTGACTCCGCCTGCCCGACGGCCAGTACCTCGAGCTGCGTAGCATCCTCCGTTTCGGAGGGGTTGTCGGGCACGCGTGCCAGCACGGTCCGCACGTAATCGGATCCGATATCGATGCCGCAGAGCAGATCCGCTGTCCTGGTCGTCACGTCTGTCCTCCAACAGGTCGGGCCGGTTGCTGCGGGGCGGAGTCCGGCGGGCCGGGGCGGACGAGAAACCGATCGGGGACCCGGGCGTCAACCCGTGAGATCCCCGGCCAGCGCTCGACCAGATCCGGCAGGAGCCCGGCTGTTCGCTCCAGGCCTTCCAAAAAGCCCCGTTCGGTCAACAGGACGGGCAGCGCCGGGGATCTGAAGACCACCCGCAGCCGGTATGGGCCGCCACTCACGTCCAGTTCCGAGACCAGCCGGTCCAGCTCGGGCCGGCGCGAAAGCGCCGCCGCCAGCCGGCCGGCCAACGAGGCGCGCGCGGCGAAGTCGCGATGGGTCCGGTCCGCCCCGCGGACGAGCACCAGATCGGCCGCACCCGCCCAGGCCAGGTCGGCAGCCGTTGCCGGTCCGAGGACCGTCCCGTCTTCGGCGAGGGCTGCGGGCGGCTCCCAGTCGAGGAGGGCCACGGCCCGTTTTTCCTCGATGTCCACCAGGACCCCTCCGGTCAGCGCCCGCTCCACGGACACCTTCTTCGGGACTCCGGTTGCAAGGAGGCGCTCCCGGATCGCGGCAGCGTCCGCGAAGAGGCCGCCCGCTCCCAGCACCTCGGGGTCGGAGAAGGCGTTCAGATGCCCTGCCCCCCGAATCCGAAGTTCGGCCCGAAAGTTCGGCCGGGGCCCTCTCGGAGACCGGATTGGCGCTTTCGAGCGCCGTCAGCCGACCGACTGCAACACCGACGGCGAGCGCGAGCCCGATGGATCCGACGGCAATGCGAACGGCGAGTCGCGGCAGCGTGGTCCGCGACGCGGGCGGGGCGACCAGCCGGAGTTCGGGATCCGCCGCGCGTGGAGGGGCGCCGGCATCGGTCCGCGGCGGAAGCTCGACGGGCAACCTGCCCTCGCGGCCACTGCCGCTTCCGCTATGCCACCCGTTCACGGAGCACCTCCTGCAACATGTCCGGAAGCTGGGTGATGGTCCCCGCACCCAGAGTCATGACGACGTCGCCGGACCGGAGATCGGGGGCCAACTCGCTGGCGACATCTTCCAGGCGGGCGATGAAACGCGCGTCGGGATGTCCCGTGCTCCGAATTCTCGCGGCGAGCCCTTCACCGTCCACGCCGGGAATCGGCGCCTCGCCCGCCGGGTAGATGTCCGTGACCACCACGACGTCCGCCGCGCCGAACGCCCGGGAGAACTCCTCGTACAGGGCCTCGACCCGGCTGTAGCGATGCGGCTGGAAGATGGCCACCGTGCGCGCGGAAAATGCCGCGCGGGCGGCGTCGAGGGTCTCCACAATCTCGGTCGGATGGTGGGCGTAGTCGTCCACGATGCGGACGCCGCCCACCGTGCCGCGCCGCTGGAAGCGGCGTTCGACGCCGGCGAACGCCTCGAGTCCCTCGCGGATGGCGGGGGTCCCGAGCCCGAACTCGAGCCCGACGGCGGCGGCGGCCAGGCTGTTGAGGACGGCGGTCCGGCCGGGCTGGCGGAGATGGACGGCGCCGGCGAGGCCGCCGCGGATCCGCAGTTCATAACGGGTGCCGTCCTCGGAGATCGAGATCCTTTCGGCCGAAACCTCGGCCTCCGAAGAAAGTCCGTAGGTGATGACCCGGCGGCGGATGCGCGGCAGCAGCGACCGCACGTTCTCGCAGTCGAGGCAGACGACCGCCCCCCCGTAGAAGGGGGTCATGTTGATGAAGCGCACGAAGGAATCCACCAGATCGTCCATCCCTTCGTAAGCGTCGAGATGCTCGCGGTCGATCCCGGTAACCACCGCCAGCACCGGGAGCAGCCTGAGGAAGGTGCGGTCCGATTCGTCGGCCTCCGCCACCAGGATTTCGCTCTTCCCGACGCGGGCGCCCCCACCGATGGTGGCGACCCGCCCACCGATTACCGTCGTCGGGTCGAGCCCGGCGTGGGCGAGCAGAACCGAGGTCATCGAGGTCGTCGTGGTCTTGCCGTGCGACCCCGCGACGGCTACCGCGATCTTCATCCGCATCAGCTCGGCGAGCATTTCGGCCCGCGGAATGATGGGGAGCTGTCGTTCCCGCGCCGCGACCACCTCGGGGTTGTCGGCTGGAACCGCCGAGGAGGTGACCACCACATCGGCGGACCCCACCTGTGCCGTGTCATGTCCCTCGAACACGATGGCCCCGAGTTCGGCCAGCCGCCGGACACTGGCGCCGGCCCGGAGGTCGGAGCCGCTCACCCGGTACCCGAGGCTCAGGAGCACCTCGGCGATGCCGCTCATCCCCACCCCGCCGATGCCGACGAAGTGCACCCGGGTCCGCTTCGAAAAGAGCAGGCCGCTCCCCGTCCCGCCGGAGGAAAGCCCGGGTACGCGGCCGTTCATCGCTGCCCTCCGGCAAGGTCGCGAAGGCGCGCGGCGAGCCGCTCCGCCGGACGGTCGCGCGCCAGTTGGCGCGCCGCGCGCGACATGTCGGTGCGGCGGGAAGGGTCGTCCAGCAGGGAGCAGAGCGCGTTCGCGAACTCGGCTCCCGAAGCGCTCTCGTCGAGCGTGAGCGCCGCCCCGGCGTCCGCGAGAGCGGCAGCATTGTGCCGCTGGTGTCCGCCCGCAACCGGCGCCGGCACCAGGATGCCGGGCCGGCCGGCGGCGCTGAGTTCGGCGCAGGTAATGGCTCCTGCCCGGCCGACCACCAGATCCGCCGCCTCCATCGCCCGGGGCATATCGTCGAGGTAGGCCGTCACCCGGGCGCCCAATCCGGCTTCCCGATACGCGTCGCGAACCTGCGCTTCCTCCGCGGGGCCGGTCTGATGGGTGATCCGCAGATTGCCGCGTCGCTCGCGAAGCGCCGGCAACGAATCCACGACCAGCCGGTTCAGGCGGGAAGCGCCCTGGCTGCCGCCGGTGACGAGCACGGATACCGTCCCGTTGTTGCCCGGCGGGGGAGCCACCCCGAAGAACTCCGAACGCACCGGAATGCCGGCAACCACCGCCCCCCGGCGGAAGAACCGCCGCGTCGGCTCCCAGGCAACGGCGACTTCGCTCGCGAAGGGCGCACTCCAGCGGGTCGCGAAACCAGGCTCGGCGTTGGGTTCGAGAATCAGCGATGGGATCCGGAGAAGCCGGGCAGCGAACACCGCGACGCCGGACACCGACCCTCCGGTTCCGAACACCGCGTCGGGACGGAACTCCTTCAGCAGCCGGCGCATCTCGCTGAGGGAACGGAGCAGCCGGAACGACGTCCGGGGCAGAACGAGCGGCGAACGGCCGCGGATGGGCGGAACCTCCACCAGTTCGAGACGGAACCCGTGTCGCGGCACGAGGCGTCCCTCGAGGCCCTTCGCGGTGCCCACGAAACGAATCTCGGCCGGCCCCAGCTCCGAGAAGGCGCGCGCCACCGCGAGCCCCGGATAGATGTGTCCGCCGCTGCCGGCGGCCGCGACCAGCAGACGCCGGATCATGGAACCCTCTGCGAAACCGACAGCACCAGCCCCGCCGCCAACAAGGTGGTGACGAGCGCGGAACCCCCGGCGGACACGAACGGGAGCGGCAACCCGGTGGTGGGAAGGATCGCGGTCGCAACGCTGAAGTTCAAAAACGCCTGCAACGCGATGGTCAAGGTGGCGCCCGCTCCGAGCAGCATGCCGAAGCGGTCCGGCGCCCGGCAGGAAACGACCAGGCCGCGGATGGTGAACAGGAGGAAGAAGACCACCACCAGCCCGGCCCCGATGAAGCCCAGTTCTTCGCCGACGACCGAGAAGACGAAGTCGGAGTGGGGCTCGGGAAGATAGAGAAGTTTCTGGCGGCTGGCGGCGAAACCCACGCCGGTGACGCCGCCGCTGCCGAGAGCGATGAGCGATTGGCTCAACTGGAATCCGTCGCCGAGCGGATCCCGGAAGGGATCGAGAAAGGTGAGGATCCGGGCGACCCGGTAGTCGGCGGCCAGCACTCCGGCCACAAAGAGGGGAACGCAGACCGCCGTCAGGACGGCGAGGTGCCTGAGACGCGCCCCACCCAGAAAGATCACCGCCGCCCCGACGACCACCAACAGGGTCGCCGTCCCGAGATCGGGTTGGAGATAGATCAGGCTGGCGAGAAATCCGGTACAGGCGAGCGGCAGCAACAAGGTGCGGAAGGAGTCGGCGCGCTGGATGGCGAGCAGATGGGCAAGCGCCAGCACCAGCCCGAGCCGGGCCGGCTCGGAGGGCTGGAGGGAGAAGCCGGCGACCTGCACCCAGCGGTGCACCCCGTTGATCGAAGGCGACAGCAGGGCGGCGAAGAGCGACACGATGACCGCCCCGTACACCGCCCACACCACCGCCGGACGATTCAGGAGCCGGTAGTCCGAACGGGCGACCGCGATCATCGCCAGGCAGCCCAGTGCGGCCCAGACCGACTGGCGGCCCAGAAAGTAGGAGGGGCTGCGGTCGCTGGCGTCCGCCACGATGGCCGAGGCGCTGTAGAGCATGACCAGCCCGAAGACGAGCAGCCCGAGCGTGAGGAGGAAGAGCGGCAGGTCGGGAGCCATCCGCCGCCCCTTCATCGCCGGCCCCCCTGGGCGCCTTCCAGGCGCGCGACCAGCGCGCGGAATCGGGTGCCGCGGTCCGCGTAGTTTTCGAACAGGTCGAAGCTGGAGCAGCCGGGCGAAAGCAGGACGATCCCGCCAGGGCGGGAACGCGCGAAGGCGGCCGCCACCGCTCCCTCGAGGGTGCCCTGGACCTCCACCGGAACGCTGCTGATTTCGGTTGCGATCCGGGCCTTCGTCCGCCCGATCGCCTGGATCCCCTCCACCCGGCCGAGCGACCCCTCCAGATCGGAAAACCGGCCGCCCTTGAGGATCCCTCCCAAAATGAGCTGGATCCCGCCGCCGGCCGCCCCGGAGAGCGCTTCGACGGCCGCTCGGGTCGCCTGCAGGTTCGTCGCGCGGGAGTCGTTGATGAACCGCACCCCCGCCACCGAGCCCGCTTCCTCGAGGGCATGGGGCAGGCCCGAGAAGCGGGCCGCCGCCGTTTCGATGGCGTCCGGGCGAACCCCCAGCACACTGGCGGCCGCGGCCGCGGCGGCCAGGTTCTTCGCCTGGTGGCGGCCGGGGAGGCGGAGCGCGGACAGCCGGGCGAGGACCCGCGTTTCCTCTCCGTCCCGCCTGAGGACGCTTTCGGAATCCAGGAGGACTTCCGGATCGTGCGCGCCGGCCGGCCCGGCGAACGGCAGCCAGCGCGCACCGCTCGCGCGGACGGCGGCGGTCGCGAGATCGTGAGCCACGGGGTCACCGCCGTCGCCGACGACCCAGTCGGTCGCCGTCTGGTTCTCCAGGAGCCGGGCCTTGGACCGGCGGTAGTCGGCGAGATCCGGGTGCCAATCGAGATGGTCCTGACCCACCTCCAGCACCACGGCGACGTGCGCCCGGAAGCGGGCGATCGTCGCCAACTGGAAACTCGAGGTCTCGACCACCGCGATCTGATCGGGGCCGAACGATCCGGCGAGCGCGGTGAGGGGTTCGCCGAGGTTCCCGCAGGCCCTGACCGGGGTCCCCTGCGCATCGAGCGCTTCCGCGAGCAGCGTCACCACGCTGGACTTTCCCTTGGTGCCCGTCACCGCCACCAGCCGGTCCCAGGGTTCGCCGAGCGCCCGGTATCCCAGCTCGAGTTCGCCCCAGACCGGGATTCCCTCGCGCCTTGCCGCTCGCAGGATGTCCACCCGCGGCGGGACTCCGGGGCTCGTCACCACGAGCGCCATCCCGGCCAGCAAAGACGGGGGATGGCCCCCGAAGTGAACGCGCGCTCCCAGCGACCGGAGCGCGGAGGCCGCTGGAATGGCCGGCTCCGGACGGGAGTCCGCAACCAGCACCCGCCGCCCGATCCCGCACAGGTAGCGCGCCGCCGCCTGGCCGCTCGCACCGGCGCCCAGCACCAGTACGTCCGGCCCCGGGATAGCGGTTGGAAGTGCCGTCATCGGTCATCGCAGCTTCAGGGTGGTCAGGGTGGCGAGCGCGCAGAGGACGGCCAGGATCCAGAACCGGACGCTCACCTGGGTCTCGTGCCAGCCGGCGAGCTCGAAGTGATGGTGGAGCGGCGCCATCTTGAAGAGCCGCCGGCCCGTGAGCTTGAAGCTGGCCACCTGCAAAATGACCGAGGCGGTTTCGAGGACGAACACCCCGCCCACCAGCACGAGCAGCATTTCCTGCCGGATGAGGATCGCCTGCATCCCGATGCCGGCGCCGAGGGCGAGCGATCCCACGTCGCCCATGAAGACGCGCGCGGGGTGGGCGTTGAACCACAAAAAACCCAGGGCGGCCCCGGTAATCGCTGCTCCGAAGATGGTCACCTCGGAGGCGCCGGGGAGGTACAGGATGTCGAGATAGGCCGAGAACTCGGCGTGGCCGGCGAGATAGGTCAGGGCGGTGTACACGGCGGCCGCGATCAACACGCAACCCGCGGCGAGACCGTCCAGCCCGTCGGTCAGGTTCACCGCGTTCGAGGAGGCGACGAGGACCAGCATGGCCGCGGGCACGAACAACAGCGCCAGTTCGGGCTGGAACTCCTTCCAGAAGGGGAAGACGACGCGGGTGGTGAAGCCGCCGGTGCCGGAGTACCAGAGCAGGAAGCCGCCGACCGCCAACCCGAGCAGGAACTGGACGCCGAACTTGGTCCGGATGCTCAGCCCGATTCCGTCCCCGCGCCGCAGTTTCTTCCAGTCATCGAGGAAGCCCAGCGTCCCGTAGCCCGCCATCGCCACCATCGCCACCCAGACGAGCACGTTCCCCAGATCGGCCCAAAGCAGCGTGGAGAGGATCACCGACCCGACAATCAGGACCCCGCCCATGGTCGGGGTCCCGGCCTTGTGGTGGTGCGCCGGGCCGTCGGCGCGGATCCGCTCCCCCACCCGGAGGCGCGACAGGCGTGAGATCACGAAGGGGCCAAGGCCGATCGAGAGGATGATGGCGGTGGCGGCCGCCGCCGCGGTGCGCACCGACACGTAGCGGAACACGTTGAAGGCGCTGATCTCGTCCGCGAGGGAGAACAGCAGCTCGCCGAGCATCAGGCGCCTCCCCCAAGCCCCGTCACCGGAGCTTCCAGCCGGCGGAGCGACGCATCGAGTCCAACCGCCCGGGACGCCTTGAACAGCACCAGGTCGCCCTCGCGCAACGCGCCCTCGAGCAACGCTGCGGCCTCGTCCGGATCCTCCGCGGCGAGGGTGCTCGATCCGAGAGCGTCGGCCGCCGCGGCGAGCACCCGTCCCAGGGGTCCGACCCCAACGACCAGATCGAGGCGCAACTCGTTCGCGAACTCTCCGCAGGCGCGATGCATCGCCTCGGCGTCTTCGCCGAGTTCGAGCATGTCGCCCGCCACCAGGATGCGCCGCGCGGCGGGCAGCGCCGCGAACTCGTGCAACACCGCGCGCAGCGCGCGGGGGCTGGAGTTGTACGTCTCGTCGAGCGCGACCGCCCCTCCGAGAAGCCGCACCCTCGTTCCCCGGCCCGGGAGCGGCGCCAGCCCCGCGACTCCCCGGGCCGCGCGCTCGAGCGGCACGTCGAGGACGGTCGCCGCGGCGAGCCCGGCGAGCACGTTGCCCGCGTTGTGCCGGCCGGCGAGCCCGCACGACACCGATACGGCGGGACCGCCGAAGGCGCTGACCTCGAAAACAAGACCGGCGGGGCGCGCCGCGTAGGCCGCGCCCCGGACGTCCACCCCCTCGGAAAACCCGTACGTCACGTGCCGTCCCGAGAAGCGGTGCGCCTGCGCCCGAACGCGCTCGTCGTCGGCGTTCACCACCGCGGTCGCCCCGGGGGGCATGGCCTCGAAGAGTTCCCCCTTCGCCGCGGCAATGGCGTTGAGCGATCCGAAGTACTCCAGATGCGCTTCGGCGATGGTGGTGAGGACGCCGCAGTCGGGCACCGCGATCTCGGTAAGGGTCCGGATCTCGCCCGGAGCCGACATCCCGAGCTCCACGACCCCCACTTCTTCGTCTTCGCGGGCGAGCAGCGAGAGCGGAAGCCCCCACCGGTTGTTCAGATTCCCCCGGGAACGAAAAACGGTTCGTTCGGCGCCGATGGCGGCCGCCGCCGCTTCCTTGGTGGTGGTCTTGCCCAGGCTTCCGGTGATCGCAACGATTCGGACGCCGCTCTTCAACCGCTCTTCCCGGGCGAGCGCCCCGAGCGCCTCCGTGGGATCGGACACCCGGATCAGGAAACGGCCCGTTGTCGTTTCCGGCAGGGTTTCCGGCAGGGCTGCCGGCCGGTCCCGGTATCCGCTCCCGACAACCGCACCTGGCGCGCCGCGGCGGAACGCGTCGGCGACGAAGGCGTGACCGTCATGACGGGGCCCCCGGATCGCGAAAAAGAGATCGCCCGGAGCGAGCGTGCGGGAGTCGATCGAGACGCCGGTAAGCACCCCGGTAAGCATTCCGGCCGGGCCTTCGAGCGCGCCGCCCATCGCCCGGGCTGCCGCTTCGCCGTGGAGTCTCATGAGAGCGCGAGCTCCAGCGCATTGGCGGCGACTTGCCGGTCATCGAAGGGAATCCGCGTGTCCCCGAGCACCTGGTGGGTCTCGTGGCCCTTGCCCGCGACGAGGACCAGGTCGCGTGGTCCGGCCACCGACACCGCGTTCTCGATGGCGCGCCGCCGATCCGGTTCCAAAAGCACCTCGGCGCCGAGGGCCGGGTTGTCGGCGCCGACCCGGATCTCCGCGATGATGGCGTCGGGCTCTTCCCCGCGGGGGTTGTCCGAGGTGAGGGTCACCCAGTCGGCGAGCCGGGCCGCGGCGTCTCCCATGAGCGGCCGATTGCCCCGGTCCCGTTCGCCCCCGCAGCCGAAGACCACGAGCAGCCGGCCGTCTCCCACCAGGCAGCGGGCGGCGGCCAGGGCCCGGGCCAGCGCGTCCGGAGTGTGCGCGTAGTCCACCAGAACCGCCGGCAGAACCGCCGGCAGAACCGCCGGCTCGCGCCCCCGCCGGCGCCGTCCACCGGGTGCTCCGATCCGCTCCATGCGACCGGGAGGCGCGGCGATGGCCGAAAGGACCTCGGCGACGCGGGCTCCGTCGAACCCCATGGCGGTGAGCGCTCCCCACGCCGCCGCCAGGTTCAGGCCGCTGAAGTGCCCGAGCATCGGGCTCGCGAGTTCGTGAGCCCCCGCCGGACCCTCCACCGTCACCCGGGTGCCGTCGAGGTCGGAACGGATCGCACCGAGTCGGATCGTGGCCCCGGGAGCGGTCCCGTAGCCCACGATGCTCAGGTCGGGACGAAGCGCCCGCAGGTCCTCGGCGAGCCGAACGCCATAGGGATCATCCCAGCCGACCACCGCCGTCCCGCCGGGACGGAGCAGATCCGTGAAGAGTTCCCGCTTGGCCTCGAAGTAGGAGTCGAACCCGCCGTGAAAATCGAGATGGTCGCGGGTGAGGTTCGTGAAGATCGCCGCCTCGAAGACGGTGCCCGCGAGGCGTCCCTGCCGGAGGCCGTGCGAGGAACACTCGACCGCTCCGGCGCGGCAGCCGGAAGCGAGGGCGGTGGCCAACAGGGACTGCAACTCGGGAGCCTCGCGGGTGGTGAGGCCCGAAACGGTGGGTTCCAGGAGCCGGCCGCCCACCCGCGCGCGGTGCCCTACCGTGCCGCAGTAGAGGCTTCCCGCCGTTTCCCGATGAAAGAACTCGTCGAGCAGCCAGGCGACGGTCGTTTTGCCATTCGTCCCGGTGACTCCCACGAGCCGCATTCGCTCCGCAGGGCGGCCATGGAACGCGGCGGCGACCGGGCCGGCGGCGCGGCGGGAATCCTCGACCCGGGCGAAGGGAATCGGCGAGCTCGGCGGCTCTTCCACGACCGCCGCCGCGGCCCCCGCGGCGGCGGCCGCCGGCACGAAGTCATGACCGTCGAAGCGCTCTCCGCGGGTGGCGATAAAGAGGCTTCCGCGCCCAGCGCGCCGCGAATCGCAGGTGACGTCCCGAATCTCCTGCTCGCCGGCGCCTTTCGACAGGTCTGCGTCCAGGCCTTCGAAGAGCTCTCGCAGGAGGCAGGATCGGACTCCCCCGGCCACTCCCTCGGCGGTCATTGCGGATGGCTCCGGCGGTTTTCCACGGACGGTTCCGGCGGGGACTCGACTACCGCCGCCGGATCCGCGCCGGTCGCCGGATCCTCCGGGCCGCCCGGGGATTCGGTCGCCCTCTCCGGGAGGAAATCCGGCAGCGAGGCCGGGATCAGGGACCCGGCCGGCGGCGCCGGGGATGGGACGCCGTCCGCCACGGCCGGCAGACGCCCCGCAGCCGGCGCGGCGGTCCCCGCACTCAGGGTGCTTCCCGGTGTTCCCGGTCCCGCGGCGCCGGCGCGGCGCAGCCGCCGGGCAACAAGGGCGCGAAGGTCACGCGCCGCGAGGCTCCGATCGGCCGGCGTTTCGTCGCGCCAGGAAGCGGGGGCCACCCGGCCGGTCCGATCTCTCCCGAGCTGGCGAAACCCCCGGCCGGAACTGACCAGACGCTCGGTCCCCCATCCGGTCTTCCGATACCGCCAGAGCACGCGGTCCGCGATCCTTCCGAACACCTGCGCCGCGTTCGCTCCGCTGTGGTTGGGCTTTTGGACGTCGAGGATCACCACCCCGGTGAACAGGGGGTCGCGAGCGGGCGCAAAGCCGGCGAACGAGGCGGTGTAGTCGGTCGCCGAGTAGCCTCCCCGCTCCGCCTTCTGAGCGGTGCCCGTCTTGCCGGCGATGGAAAAGCCGTCCACCCCCGCGGCGCCGCCGGTTCCATTCTGGACGACCCCGACCAGGAGCTGGCCCACCCGGGCCGCCGTCATCGGGCTCACGACCCGGTGGCCGGTTACGAGCGGTTGCGCCTCCCCTCCGATCTCGCGGATCAGACGGAGGGGCAGGAGGACGCCGCCCGTTGCGATCGTGTTGACGCCCTGGACAAGCTGGACGGGAGTCACCGCGATCCCCTGGCCGAAGGACACGGTCGCCAGCCGGATCGGTCGCCACACACCCCTGGCCGGCACGATTCCGCGACTCTCCGCGCCGAGCGGCAGCCCCGTCGGTTCTCCGAATCCGAAGGCGTCCAGATATGCGTGGAGGGTTTCGGAGCCGAGGCGCGAAGCAACCTGAAGGGTGCCGATGTTGGAGGAGCGCTGGATCACGCCGGCAAAGGTCAAAGGCCCGAGCGGTTGCCAATCGCGGACGACCCGCCCGCCGATGGGGTAGCTGCCCCCAAAGGTGTCGAACTGCTCTTCCTCATCCGTCACTCCCTCCTCGAGAGCGGCGGCAGCGGTGAAGATCTTGAAGGTCGATCCGGGCTCGTACGGATCGGTGATCGACCGATTGCCGAGCGTCTCCGGGGGATACTCCTCTGCCTGGTTCGGGTCGAAGGACGGAGCGCTGGCCATCGCCAGCACCTCGCCGGTCTGGGGCTCAACCAGAATGACGGCGCCCGAAGTTGCCGAAAACTCGGCAACGGCTCGCTCGAGTTCTTCCTCGGCAACAGCCTGCAGGTAGGAATCGATCGTCAGTTCGATGTCGGCCCCCGGGCGCGACTCCCGCACCACGCGGCTTCCCCGGCCCGTCCGCCGGCCGTCGGTCCAGACGGTGCGGCGTCCGGGCTCGCCCAGCAGCACCCCGTCAAGGGCGAACTCGATGCCGCCCAGGCCATCGTTGTCCGCCCCCACGAAGCCCAGAACGTGGGCGGCGAGCTCGGCGCCGGGATAGAAGCGGCCGTATTCCTCGATGGTTCCCACCGGTAAACCGGTTTCCCGGGCGCACGCGACCTGAACCGCCGTGGCCTTGCGCTTGAGCCAGGAGAACCGGGAGGCGCGCCGCAGTCGTCGCTCGACGAGGGCGCTCGGCACCTCGAGGCACGCTGCGAGACGACCCGCCGCTTCCGGGATCGCCGCCGCTGAATAGTCGGGCGGGACCACATACACCGAGTCCACCGCGACGGTGAGCGCCAGGGGCCTCCCGTTGCGGTCGTAGATCCTCCCGCGGAACGGCGGAATGGTGAGTTCGTGATGATGTTGACTGGCGGCGCGCCGCACCATGGTTTCGTGATCGAGAACCTGGATCTGGACCAGTTGGCCGAGGATCAGCGCCGCCCATACCCCGATCAGGGCCGCGCCCACCACCGCCCGCCGCCGCAGTGCCGTTCTCCCGCCGTTCCCCGACGTTCCGGCGCCGGCCCCCGTGGACGGCGGCAGGGATTTTGGAGTGGCGGCGGGTGAAGGTTGGCGCCGGCGCTTCGGCCGGCGGGACGCCTCCCGGGCCGCCGTTGGAAGAAGCGGCGCCGGGATGTCGGGGAACAGGCTGTTCGGAGGGCGTTTCCACCCACCGGAGCCCGGGTTCGGTCGCCGGGGGCTCATTGCGGGTCCGAACTCCCTGAATCCAGAGGCCCCCCGGCGGCGCCCGGAGCTTCGAGCACGACCCGCTCCCCGGCGGGTTCCAGCCCGTATGTTTCCCGGGCGATCCGCTCAACCGACCGCGGGTCGGTGAGTTCGCTCAGGTCGAGCTGGTACCGCTCGATGTCTTTTTCGAGCTGGTCCCGCTCCAGGCGCAGTTCTTCCACCCGGTAGCCGAGCCGGATTGCTTCGAGGTGCGGCCAGGTGGCGGCGACCGCCGCCGCCAGGGCAAAGATGCCGATGGCGAGATAGAGAAGAAGCTGCGCGTACCGGGTGCGGTCGAGTTTCCGGTGCAGCCACTGGTTGTCCGGGCGGTAGGTCACCTCGAAACGTTCCGGAGTCATCGTCCATCTCCGTCAGGGCGCACAATCTCCCCCGGGGCATCTTCGATGCGGCGCAAGATGCGGAGGCACGCACTCCGCGACCGGCGGTTCGCGCCGGATTCGTCTTCGTCCGGACGAATGGGCCGCCGCGTGCCCAGCTCGAACCGGGGCTCCTCGGCCAGTCGCCGGAAAGCGTGCTTTACGGGGCGATCCTCCCCGGAGTGATAAGAGATCACGGCCAGGACGCCTTCCCTCCGGAGCCGGCCGGGGGCCTCGTGCAGTGCGGCCGCGAGGACCTGCGGCTCGCGATTCACCGCGGAACGGACCGCGAGGAAGGTCCGGGTGGCGGGATCGATGCGCCCCCGCCGAGGACCGACGGCGGCGATCACCGCCGCGCGCAGATCTCCGGTCGTGCGGAGCGGCCGGCGCCCCACGATGCGCCAGGCAATGGCGCGGGACCGGCGCTCCCCCATCCCGAACAGCAGATCGGCGATCTCCCGCTCCTCGAGCCGGTCGAGCAGTTCGGCCGCCGTCTCCCCCGAGCCCGGGTCGAACCGCATGTCGAGCGGGCCGTCGTGGCGGAGCGAAAAACCGCGTTCCGGCGTTTCGAGCTGCGGGCTGGAAAGCCCGAGGTCGAGAAGGATCCCGTCCACCAGGTCCCAACCCACGCGGTCCAGCGCGGAACCAAGCTCGGAGAAGTCCCCCGCGAGGAAGCGGAAGCGAGGCTCCCCGGCGGCCAGCGCGGCCGCGGCCGGCGCCGCCTCCGGATCCTTGTCGAGACCCAGCACCCGAGCACCGGGAGCGGCCTCGAGGATGGCTTTCGTGTGTCCGCCGCGCCCGAAAGTGCCATCGACGTAGCGTCCGCCGGAGCGCGGGGCCAGCCAGCGCAACACGGTGTCCCGGAGCACCGGTACGTGCGCCGGCGATTCGGGTGGCATGGAGTCCGTCATCTTGGACGCCGTCATCTTGGGCGCCGTCATCTTGGGCGCCGTCATCTTGGGCGCCGTCATCTCAGGCCGGGTCCGAAAGGGGAGGCGGACCGGGAACGCCGGCAGCGGGCAACGGACCGGCGCCGGACGGGGAGCGGAGGGAAGCTGAGCAAGCATGCCGGCCGGAACCCAGGAGTCAGATTCCCTCCGGGTGCGCGAGCTTCAGATCGTCGTGGTCGGTCAGCGGGTCGTCGGTGATCCGCGAGAGCAGGGTCGCGTGGTTCCACACTTCGAGGTAGCGCTCCATCCCCAGGACATCCACCTTCCCGACGATGTTCGCGAGGGTCCGAAGGTTTTGGGGAAGAACGATCCGGTGCTGCGTATCGAGCTCGACTTGCTGTCCGTAGAAGTTCGTGATGCGGGAGAACCTGCGCCACGTCGGATGGAGTTCCCCCAACTTGCGCACATGGGCCACCGTGTCCTCCCAGACCTTCATCGGGTAGATGGAGGCACTTTGTCCGTCGAGGCTGGTAACGAAGACCTGGGTGCCGAGCTGTTCCAGCGGTTCAAGAAACGCGGCCGGGACCTTCAGCCTCCCCTTCACATCCACGGTGGCGGGGTGGTTACCGTGGGGAAACATGACGTCTGAAGGGGCTTGGTGGGGTCTGCGGTCGCCTGCCCGCCCACTTCGAAACCTGGGTCTGGATTTAGTCGTAGAATGAGAGGGAAAGGTTCCGTATTTTTACCACTTCTGGCCACAATTTGCCACTGCAAGAACCGTATTCGCCCCCGGTGACCACCTAAGCTCCACGCGGGCCGCGAAACCACGCGTCGCCAACCGTGAAAAAGCGCGGGGACGGCTAGGAACGCCGGTCTTCAGACCGGCATCGCTCCCCTCAGGGGAGCGAAACTCCCGTCGCTAAACGGCGAAAAAGCGCGGGGACGGCTAGGAGCGCCGGTCTTCAGACCGGCATCGCGGCCGAAGGCCGCGAAACTCCCATCGCCAACCGCGAAAAAGCGCGGGGACGGCTTGGAACGCCGACCTCCGGTCGGCACCGCTGCGCGACAGCGCAGCGAACGGCACGGACGCCATACACCGGGATGGCTCCCGTCTCGGCCCGTACCCCATCAGGAGCAGTGGCGCCGGCCCGGGAACGCCGCCCTTCAGACCGGCACTCGCGGCCTGCAGGGCCGCGAAACCGCGTACTCCCGACCCGCGGCGCGTACCGCCGCCGGCCCTCAGCCCACGTGGAACCGGATCACCAACACGTCCCCGTCCTGGACCGGGTAGTCCTTCCCCTCCAGCCGTAGCGCTCCCGCCTTCCGCGCGCCGTCCCAGGAGCCGCAGTCCACCAGCTTGTCGAAGGAGACCACTTCCGCGCGGATGAATCCCCGCTCCATATCGGTGTGGATCTCGCCGGCAGCCTCCTGGGCCCGCGTATTCCGGCGGATCAGCCAGGCCCGCGACTCGGTGTCGCCGGCGGTGTAGAAGGTCGCGCGGTCCATCAACTCGAAGATGGCCCTGACGATCCGCTCGGCGGCGCCCGCCTCGACCCCGATGTCCCGTCGGAATTCGGCGGCGTCTTCCTCGGGAAGCTCCGCGATTTCCGCTTCGATCCGGGCCGAGACCGCCGCGAGCCGGGTCTCCGGACGCCGGGCGATCTCGTCGAGTCCTGGCCAACTCGCGGGGTCCCGCGCCGCCTCCGTGTCACCGGCGTTCACGACCAGGAGTTGCGGCTTCGCACTCATCAACCCGTAGCCGCCAAGGCGCTTCCGGTCCTCCGCACTCAGCGCCTCGCGTACCGGAACTTCCCCTTCCACCGCCTGGCGCGCGCGGTCGAGCAGGTCACGCTCTCCCCGCACCGCTTCCGGTTTGCCCCGAGCCCGATCCGCGTCGAGCCGCTTGATCCGCTTCTCGAGAACCGCCAGATCGGCCAGCAGCAGCTCCAGCTCCAGATTCGCGGCATCGCGCCCGGCGTCTACCGAGTCGAACGGCGAGGGAACCGTCGGATCCTCGAAGGCGCGCACCGCGTGGACGATCGCGTCCACCTCCCGGAGCGCCGCCAGGTTTTCCGTCTGCCCCGAGGCTCCCCGCCGGAGCGCGGGGATGAGCACCACCTCGACAGTGGCGTGAGTGGTCTTTTTCGATTCGTGGAGGCGCGTCAGCGTTGCGAGCCGCTCGTCGGGAACGGCCAGCACGCCGCGCTTCGCACCGGCCGCAAAGCCCACCTGGGCCACCTGGGTCAGGAGCGAAAAAAGGGTCTTCTTGCCGGAAGCGGCAAACCCGACGATACCCGGCGCGCACGAGGCAGTGATGGTAGCCGTGCGGACCCGGGACATCGGCAATCGACACCTCCGGGGAACCCCTCGGCATAAGCCTTGCTTGCGCATCGTGGCGTACGCGTCGGGACTGAAAGAGCCCGGTGGCCGCCAGTGCTGCGGGCCCTCGAAGGCGCGCCCCCAAGGAAGAGACGAAGCGACCGTGACGGGCGGTTGGGGGGCGTCCACCGGTCGCGCGACTGGCAGGAGACGGAAATGACGATCCGACTGTTCATCATTCTTGGAGTTCTGCTGGGGTGCCAGGCCTGCGACGACGAATCCACGGCACCGACCAGCCCACGGCGGATGCGGACGCCGACTCCGCCCCCCGCTCCGGAGCCGGACCCCGGACCCGGTGCGGTGCCGCCCGCGATCGCGGCGTGGGTCGAGGCCAATGCGCTTCCATTCAGCGGAACCCACCTGTCGCTTCCCCACACGGATATCGAGTTCCTGCGCGACCTGGTGGGCGACGCCCGGATCGTCGCCCTCGGAGAAAACACGCACGGCACCCGCGATTTCTTCGAGATGAAGGCCCGGATTCTCCGCTTCCTCGTCGAGGAGATGGGCTTCAACACCTTCGCCATCGAGGCGACCTGGCCCGAATCCCTCCTCGTGGACCGCTATGTGCGCACCGGCGAGGGCGACCCGGCGCGGCTCCTCGCCGACCTTTACTTCTGGACCTGGAACACGGAATCAGTGCTCGAAATGATCGAGTGGATGCGGGAGCACAACGAAGCCGGCGGCGACGTGGGTTTCCACGGGTTCGACATGCAGTATCCGGGGATGGCCCTCGACAACGTCCTCGAGTACGTCGGGGAAGTGGACCCCGAACGCGTCGCCGATGTCACCATGCTTGTGGAATGCCTGCAGTTCTACGCGAACCCGGGACGGCGGCAGGTTTCCACGTGACCGGTACGACGACCTGAGCGCAACCTATCGGGCCGAGTGTGGCCAGTCCCTCCAGGAAGCGCGTGCATTGCTCCTCGCGAACCGGGAGGAGTACGAGGCCGCGTCGGGAGAAGACGCCTTTGAAGTGGCCCTCCAGAGCCTGCGGGTCGCGTTCCAGTACCACCTCAACGCCACCGGCCACCAGTACGCGCGACGAGTCCATGGCCGAGAACACGGAATGGATCAACCGCCGGATCGGCCCGGAGGGACGGATGGTGCTCTGCGCGCACAACTACCACGTCTCGAATCAGAGGTATGCGCAGGGTTCCTATCTGAAGGAGACGTTCGGCGACGACATGGTCGTTCTTGCCTTCACGCACGAACGCGGCAGCTTCACGGCGTATAGCCGAAACGCCGGGAGCCGTACGGCGTGGGAGCTCGATCCCGCGATCCCGGAGTCGGTCGAGCACTACCTGTCAGCCGCGTCCGCCCCGCAATTCATTCTGGACCTGCGCGAGGTGGACGAGAACACGGTGGGCGGTTCGTGGCTCACCGAGCCGCGCCAGACGCGCCACATCGGTTGTTGCTACGAGCAGGACGAGCCGGAGGCCTACTGGGACCTCAGCCGGATGACGGCGCTCTATGACGTGATCGCCCACTTCGAGTCCACCGAAGCGACCACCGTCCTTCCCTTCTACCTCTCGGTCTTCGAAACGGACGGGGTCGGAGGCCGCTAGACCCATAGCGTGTTCCGACCGGAGGTCGGCGGTACGCGGTTTCGCGGCCCTGTGGGCCGCGATGCCGGTCGGAGACCGGCGCTCCACCGTGAGATTGGCGGGGCCAGCGTTGTCGGTGCGGGTTTCGCGCTCCCGCGCGATGCCGGTCGGAGACCGGCGCTCCACCGTGAGATTGGCGGGGCCAGCGTTGTCGGTGCAGGTTTCGCGCTCCCGCGCGATGCCGGTCGGAGACCGGCGCTCCACCGTGAGATTGGCGGGTGGCCAGCGTTGTTGGTGCGGGTTTCGCGCTCCCGCGCGATGCCGGTCGGAGACCGGCGCTCCACGTGAGATTGGCGGGGGCAGCGTCGTTGGTGCGGGTTTCGCGCTCCCGCGCGATGCCGGTCGGAGACCGGCGCTCCACCGTGAGATTGGCGGGGCGCGGCGTCGTCGGTGCAGGGTTTCGCGCTCCCGCGCGATGCCGGTCGGAGACCGGCGCTCCACCGTGAGATTGGCGGGGCGCGGCGTCGTCGGTGCGGGTTTCGCGCTCCCGCGCGATGCCGGTCGGAGACCGGCGCTCCACCGTGAGATTGGGGTGGCGCAGCGTTGTTGGTGCAGGTTTCGCGCTCCCGCGCGATGCCGGTCGGAGACCGGCGCTCCACCGTGAGATTGGCGGGGCCAGCGTTGTCGGTGCGGGTTTCGCGCTCCCGCGCGATGCCGGTCGGAGACCGGCGCTCCACGTGAGATTGGGGTGGCCAGCGTCGTCGGTGAGGTTTCGCGCTCCCGCGCGATGCCGGTCGAGACCGGCGCTCCACCGTGAGATTGGGGTGGCGCGGCGTCGTTGGTGCGGTTTCGCGCTCCCGCGCGATGCCGGTCGGAGACCGGCGCTCCACCGTGAGATTGGCGGGTGGCGCGGCGTCGTGGTGCGTCGCGCTCCCGCGCGATGCCGGTCGGAGACCGGCGCTCCACGGGAGATTGTCGGGCCAGCGTTGTCGGTGCGGTTTACGCGCTCCGCGCGATGCGGTCGAGACGGCGCTCCACGTCATCGGTTGCGGTTGGGGGTGCGGTTTGAAGA